CGCGTGGCGCGACCCCCAGAGTGGAGGGGCGCTGGCCAGGCCGTTCCCGGTGCACGGCCTAGAGTTCTTGAAATATAAAGTTCATTTACATTATAATGGCCCAGAGTAAGGAGTAAGTCTTCAGACTTTGGTTATGATAATGACCAACATGGACCATAAATGAGGGACATTTAACATCTAAAACTCTCACTTACAGGAAAGATAAGGTTTTCATTTCAATATGTAAGATGTTTTGTAGGCTGGAAACTGTTGGTTATGAGCTCAAAGACTCCAGGCTGAATGGTTCCAGACACCTGAAGAGAAATTTGATTATCTAAGGCCTCACTGAATCAAGAATGCCCACATGTTCTTGAACCAATTGTGGACAGAAGCCTGACTACTTTTCCTATTTTCCAAAATCTTTTCAAAAGGGACTGGGGGGACCAGTAGTTAGCGTAATGGCTATGTCGCTGGACTCCCATGTAGTTGACCAAGGTTCGAGTCCTGGACCCAGTGGCTTAAACTCACGCCGGGCGCATGTGCGTGCATGCCCAAGATCCCAAGAGGAGAATGGAGGAGAAGGGATTGCAGTGTGGTCATCTCCCCTGGTGGGGGGGTGATTTCTCGCTTTCTGTCTCTCTGTCTCTCTCTGTCTTTCTGGCGAACACACATGCACTATAGCCAGAACCTCTCCAAAAGAAAAAAAAAAAAAGGGACTGGGGAAACCCTGCCCACAAACATTAACAAACCATTTATTTTCCATTGACAGGATTCTTCTTACATCCTATCCCTGGCATAGTATCTTTGAGATCCAATCACCAAGCTAAGAATTGTGGAACCCACCTATAACTTACAAGCCCCTCACCTTCTTCCACATGTCCTGCCTTTCTGGGCCAGACCAATGGAAAACCTCTTCACTAAATTTTGTCTGTCAATCTCAAAAACGAACAAAAGGAACCCCTGTACGTGCAAAAGGAACCCCTGTACGTGATCACCCTGATAAAGGCATGTATGCCTCTTCTCCGGGCCTAGGTCACTCATATTTGGCTTGGAAATAAACCGCATTATTATTAATTTTTACAGTTTGTTATTTTTCTGTCGACACAATCACTGAACTGAGCATACACCTAGGACTTCTGTCCCTAATTTTGCCCTTAAAAACGCATGTGGGGGAACACCTTGGGGAGACAGGTCTTTTCGGCATGAGCTGCCCACTCTCCTTGCTTTGCACTTTGCAATAAAGCTGTATTTTGCTTCATCACACCGTGTGCCTATGGCTTGGTTTTATAGCATTTGGGTGAGCGAAACTGATTTAAGTTTGGTAACACTCCCACTCACCACCAATTCTAATTTCTACTTTATTTTCTTTGCTCTCCTTTGAGTCTGGCTCCCCCCAGCCTCTGCTTCCATGTATGTCTATTTTGCATCTTTATGCTATTTTATCTCCAAAAACGTCAGCAAGGAAAATGGGAAACCGAAGCCCTAATATGTTCAGAACCCCCAAGAACAGTGTTAAAACTGTGGACAGAGGTCTGACTGCTTTTTTCTATTTTTCCAAAATCCTTTCCAGAGACCCTGGAGGGAGTCACACCCACAAACATTAACAGACCATTTTGGCCCATTGGTAACAGTGTTCTTCCTACACCCCACCCTGGCACAGTACTGGAGTATCTTTGTGATGTGTATGAAGCCTCCTATCTCTGTTAAAGTACATTCCTTTCTGTTCTCAGCAACCTTCCTTTCCCAACCACCACCCTAAAAACTATAACACCCACCTATAACATACACAGCCCCCACATGTCCTCTTTAGGGGGCCAGACCAATGGAAAAACGCTTCACTAAATTCCAAACTCTGTCTCTTGCACTCAAAATCAAATAAAAGGAACCCTGTACCTGACCACCCCGAGGCATGGTTTGCCTCCCTCCGCCCCTAGCCTAGGTCACTCATGTTCTGCTTAGAAATAAATTGCATTATTATTTTTACAGAAGGAGTTACTTCTGTCAACACAAATACCAGGCCCCATGGCTTTCAGACTATTCAAATTCACACTGTTGCGTTCACACCATAATCAAGTATTCTAGCAACTCTATGCTTGAAAAGGGAACAGAGCCTTGGAGGGAGGGGGGCGGATTAACTTCTTGTGCCCTAGTGTTTCTTCTGAGCAGACGGCCACAAATCACAGATAAACAAGCAGTTCAGAAAGAGGGAAATGTCTCAAAAGTCAGGCTGGCAGGACAATTTTGACATGGGACTTTGCTGCCACCTTCTAGCCAAATGTAGTACTGCATGTGGCATGCCATACCCCGACCGGAGACCTCTCCAAGGTCACTAGTACTGTACTCCACACAGAGTTAATGAGTTATTATTACTTTAAAATATTTGCATGGTATGAGGACAAAAGTCTGACTACTTTATCCTATTCCAAAATTCTTTCCAAAAAGCCTGGGGAAATCATGCCTACAAACATTAACAGCGTTGGTGCATTTATTAGGGGATACTTCCTCCATCCAGTCCCTGGCTTAGTGCTTTAATGATGCATAGGAAAGTCCTTATCTCTGCTAAAGTGAAGCACAGGCATTTCTCTGCTGACTTTCTTTTAGGAACAAGACTTGTGGGTTTTTTCCTTTCTTTTTAACTACTTACTAACCTAAGAATTTCCAAACCCACCTATAACCTACAAGCCTCCACTTCCAGATGCCCCGTTTGGGGACCAGGCTGATATAAAGACTCCTTATATTGATTTACAACTTATTTGCTCTCAGAACTGAATTTTTTAAAAATTGCATCTGAATACCCCAAGAAACACTTTGGTCTTTCTCCAGATCAGTCACTCAACATTCTGCTTAGAATAAACCACATTAATTATTATTTCTGCAGAGCTTGGTTATTTCCATCAACAAGTGATTATGATATTTGGGTACCATTTCAAGTAATTTAGACATTGACTCATTTCATCCTTACAAAAATGCTATGAAGGAGATATTATTCTTTATCAGAGCAGAAACTAAGGCACAGTTTAATTAGCAACTTGAAAATGTGCCAGGATCAAAACCCAGGAAAACTTCCAGCCTCCATAATTAAAAAAAAAAAATTATATTTATTTGTTTATTTATTTTAATTTGACCAGAGAGGGGGAGAGAGAAGAGAGAGAGAAAATAAGCCAGCAGGTCCAGGACTCGAACCACGGTCGGCCATGTGGGAGTCCAGTGCCCTTAACCACCCTGCCACTCACCAGCCTTGGCCTCCATACTCTTAAGCTTGTTTTTTGGTACAAATGATGCCTTCTCAGCCTAAGTGAGAAGACTTAACTTCTCAGCAAACTTTGAGAAAATCATTCCAATCTAGAAACTCATCTAACTTGATACCCAGCTGAGAGTTTTGCTTCCGGAAATAAGAGTTTTTCAAATGCTTCAAAGCATGCCATGGAAACTTCTTGGAAGAAGTTTTGTTACAGCTCGTGGTGTGTGTTCCTAGCTTAGTATCCCTACTACTCTTCATGTGCCGAAGAACCAGTTTTACAGAAAACTGACATTCAAGTCTACAAATGAACAAACGAATGAACGAACCTAACTCTCTGAAGAACATACAAAGAGCTTTGGGGTCCTAATCCCACTGATAATGTCCCCACACTTTTCCATGACAATGGCAACAATATCAAATTCTTCTGGGTATATGATGATAATATAAGGAAAAGGAAATTTTGGGACCAGCAGATGGCGTAATGGCTACGTCACTGGACTCCCATGTGGTCAACCACAGTTCAAGTCCTGGATCTGGTGGCTTAAACTCACACTGGGCACGTGTCCAAGATCCCAAGAGGAGAATGGAGAAGGGACTGTGCCGTGGCCATCCCCCCCAGGGGGTGACTTCTCACTTTCTGTCTCTCTGTCTCTCTCTGTCTTTCTGAGGAGCACACGTGCTCTATAGCAAAAACCTCTCAAAAAAAAATAAAGAAAAAAATAAGAAAAAAGAAATTTCTAATTTTACTCTCCATTCCAATGTAAAATGACTTTGACTTAATATTTACCCTGGCATAACTCATAACAGCACCATTAACACTATTATAACCCTCATCTTCATCAAACCACTTTTTCACACAACCACCTCTATCCTCCTTCCTTCACTGGCACTTAGAAATGCCTGTGCTTTTCTCCTGTTTATCATTTCTCTAATGTTTATATAAAGTCCCTTTCTAGACAGACTTCAGGGGAAATAAAATAAAGGATTAAAAGAAGTGATGTGGGACCAGCAGTTAACGTAATGGCTATGTCGCTGGACTCCCATGTAGTCAACTGCGGTTCGAGTCCCAGACTCGGTGGTTTAAAACTCACGCCGGACACGTGTGCGTGCATGCCCAGGATCCCGAGAGGAGAATAGAGGAGAAGGATTGCAGCATGGCCATCCCCCCTGGGGGGGGG